AAAACATCGGTGGATTGTGGTCGTGTGGAAGCAGGTTTAACTGAACGCATTACTTCTGTAAACCTGTTCGTGTAGGAGGTTAGATCCATGTTCATTGAAGAGGATAAAGGATCCACGAATTCTCCTGGAAGTCGAAGTGTCGTTCCATAAACGAGTTGAGCCGCAGTGTATGCAATGTCAGCTTTCACTGCATCGCGGATACCTAGTAAGACGAGTGTAAGAGCGTCGGTACACTGTGAAACGTTTGCAGCTGATAGTGAAGCTTTTAGTTGTCGGTGAAAATGTTCTACCAACCCGTTTGCTTGTGGATGGCAGGCGGTCGTTCGAAAGCGAGTGCTTCCTAATTGTGTGGTCAGACGACGGAAGAGTTCAGACTCAAACTAACGTCCGCGGTCTGTAGTGATGGTTGAAGGGCAACCGAAGTTTGCTACCCATCGTTCGACGAAGGTTCGTGCCACTGTTTCAGCAGTGATGTCCTTGATAGGTACTGCTTCTGGACATCGAGTGAAACGGTCTACGCCGGTTAAGAGGTAAGAGTATCCATTTGAATCTGGTAAAGGTCCTACCAAATCCAGATGAACATGGTCGAAACGAGCATCGGGAGTTTTAAATGAGCCTAAGGAATATTTATTGTGTCTGATGACCTTAAATGTTTGGCAGCTTACACAAGAGCGTGCCCACTACCTCACGTCTTTATTCATGCCAGGCAAGCAAAACCGTTCTGCTATGAGCTTGATGGTTGCACGAACACCTCGGGTATTTCGTGTCTGCTGCCCGCCTTTTCTCAATCTTTTCGAGCTGTCTATTATTATTCTGAAAGAAATAATTGACTTAAGTAAGACTGAACATAGACAGCAACCAAATTTTTCGATATGCACTGTTAACAACTCACCTGAATAGCTTTCAAATTTTTAAAAAGTGATTTAAGACCGACAACTCTTTGTCTACTGTCTGTTTGTTGATGTATTAAAACAAGACCTGAAATTCGATAGACTATCCCTTACCAAAAGTCTGTATTGAATTAAAATGTAAATTTTTTTTATTCAAATTTGCCACATTGAGGCTTATTTATATTATGCAGATGAAATGTTGGTGTGCAAAAATGCGCTACGAACATTTTGGCGATTTCTTCAAAATTTCCCCAAAATTCCCCAAAACTTTGGGGACCACTATTCCACATTGGGGATTTCCCCAAACTTTCCCCAAAATTCCTCAAAATTCCCCCAAAGCTGGCAGCTTGGGCTGGATGAGAAAGTTTGTGCAATGTGTTGAAGACATTGCGGCACGATTGGGCGATCCCTACCTGTGGATGTGTCACAAAGTAAGGTTTCCTTACCTGTTCTCATCTGTTTGATGCGTAGTTTAAGGGTTGTGGACGATAACTCGTGCTGAAGATCAGTTTCTTCTTTTTGAAGCTGGGCGAGTTTAAGAAGGTCGATTCCTTGGAAACTGTTCAAGGAATTTATTCGAGACAAAGCGTCTGCAACTACATTGTTTGCTCCAGAAATATGTTGAATATCTGAAGTAAACTGCGAAATTTAGTCCAGTTGTCGAGACTCACGGGGAGAGTACTTGTCAGAAAGAGAGCTTAACGAGAAAGTGAGTGTTTTATGGTCCGTGAAAAGATTGAATTCACGGCCTTCGATATAGTGTTGAAAATGCCATACACCACAATACATAGCTAGGAGTTCCCTACCGAATGTGCTGTACCTCGATTCGGTGTCTAGCAACCGTCTAGAGAAAAATGCCAAAGGTTGCCAGTAGTTGTTAACCCATTGTTGTAAGACTCCTCCGATTGCCGAGTCGGATGCGTCTACTGAGATACTAATGGATGCTTAAGTGTCCTGATATGCAAGCATTGTTGCTTTAGCGATGAGTTCCTTAATTGTGGAGAATGCTTTTCGTGCGTTGTCATCCAAATTAATGGATTTCGCATTTCCACGAAGTTGGTCGGTTATGGGTAATCCAGAATTTCCGCCAATTTGGCTCTAAGGGTTTGGATGACTGAGCATCTATAGTGTGTCCTAGGAAGTCTAACGAGTCGGTACCGAATTGGCATTTCTGAACGTTTACAGTAAAGCCGTGTTTTTGCAATCGTCCGAAAACAAGATCCAGATGCTTGAGATGTGATTCTCTGTCCGGACTTGCGATTAGGCAGTCATCAACATACGCATGTACGAAGTTGTGACCTCGAAAAATGTCGTCTATGAATCTTTGGAATGTTTGAGCAGCATTCCTTAGACCGAAAGCCATTCGCAAAAATTCATAGAGTCCTAAAGGAGTTATGATAGCTGTTTTCGGAATGTCGTTAGTAGCCATAGTGATTTAGTTATACGCTTTAACCAAGTCGATTTTCGAAAAGACAGTTGTACCTTTCAAGGTAGCTGTCAAATCGTGAATGTGAGGCAACGGGTAACGATCGAGAATGGTTTTTGCATTCAATCGCCGATAGTCGACGGGTGGACGCCAATCGTTGCTGTTTTTCTTAGGGACCATGTGCAACGGAGATGCATAAGGGCTGTTTGACGGTCGTATGATTCCTAAGTCTATTATGTGATCGGATTCGTTTTTCGCTAACCTTAGCTTTTCAGGAGCTAGTCGTCGTGGTTTAGAGAATACAGGTGGTCCTGTAATCGTGATGTGATGTGTAACGTCGCTGGTTACATACGGTAGTTTTGGTTGAGTTTGATGTATCCCAGAGTACTTATCGAGTAGTGGTTGATAAAGTGGGTTTTTCATATGCTTAACTGTGACTGAGGATAATCTACAACCAGTAAAAGAAGTTACACAAACGGATAAATTAGTGTTTCCGTCTACTAGCCTCCGTTTGCGCGTGTCGATGATCAGATTATGGTGTTGTAGAAGATCGATACCAATGATTGACATAGAAACATCTGCAACAACGAAAATCCAATGAATGAGTTTGCGTAAACCCACGTTAAGGTAAACGTACCTTTTGCCACCTGTAAGTTTAGAGTTGGTTCGTGGAGCCGGTCATTAGGATCTGCTGGGAGAACGCTAACTTCTGCGCCAGTGTCGACGAGGTAACGAACTCTCATTGTCACATCTGTGACGTACAACAGACGGCTATGTTCGCCGGCTACGGTTACGTCAACGCGTGCCTGCTTGGAATTTTCCCGAGTTGTTTTTCGAGTCAGTCTTTTTCGTGTTGGGAAAATTGCAGGGTTTTCTGCAATTTCTGGAAGACTTTTCATACTGGTTATGATATCAGCACCAGTCGGGGTTATCCGTCTCTCGTGGTCTAGAGACAGATCGTTTACGTGAAATGCTTCCAGGTGGGCTGTGTTAGCGATTACGGTTGGTACGAATATTAAGATAACGCGTGAGTGTATGACATAACTCGGTAATGTCATTCTGAGTCGTCTGAGGCTTTTCTTTGACGGAAAATACCTCTGAAGTAGACGATTTCGTTATTTCTAAAATACGAGCGGCAGATGGAGCCAGCTCGTCTAAGGCGTTGTTCTGAAACGAGACCAGAACCGCTTGCACCTGTTGAGGAAGTTTCGACAAGAAAATTTGTTTAAATAGGCATTCGTCGAAAGTTATTAGGCCAATCACTTCTCTCATTCGTTGCAACATGTCCGTCGCAGAACCGTGTTGCAGGTCGATGTTATTGAAGAGTTGATCTAACCTTTGTCGATCGGTTAGGTCTCCTCGTTTAAGAATAGAACGTTTCAAGATTTCGTAAGGATCGGAAACATCACTAGTAAACATACTAGGTGTTACGTACCTGTTGAATTTGCGTGGTGGTGCCTTGACTACTGCGAGGAATTGTGCACGTGTGTCGATCACGCCGTGCTCGGAGAAGTCAGCTTCTGCGTAGCAGAACCAGGCTTCGATATTGTCGGGCCAGAAAGGCATGAGTTGAAACGAAGGCGGGGACAAAGTCTTAAGCTTGAGTACTTTGGGTGTCTGTCCAGTCATGATGAAATATGAAATACGATAATGAACGAGGGGGAAAACTATGTATCCAAGAAAAAACACGAAAAAAATCACAATGTTAAAAAAAATAAAAAATAAGGCAATGATATATAAAAATCCTAAAAGGGAACAGACTCACAGTTGCAATCAGGTGTACCAGATCACGTCGGGCTCACCAATGAGGATGATACAGGTATTCAATGTTTGACAACGCTTCTACCAGTAACACCTTCTAATATAATTTGTTCCCACCGAGAGAAATCAAAAGACAGAGTCGAGGAGATCGGAAGAGTGTATTTGGCGATAACCAATATATTGGAATTCTCTGATCTAATCTGGCTAGCGATTGCGGTAGATGTTGAGCACAGCGTTACCACACGTGGTCTGGTGCGGATGCATGACCGAGCGCCTTCAGTTAGATGAGTCCACTAAAACATATAGTCAGCATCCAATGTCGAAAACTTACAGAGCTATTTATTTTGGGGACATATTTACCGCTACAATGTATTGTATTTTTTCCTGATTTCATATGCGCAAATTCGTGGTTTGTTGTAGGAAGAAAGGCAAACATAGGATACCTCTTCGGTTATGCCAATTCTGTTTTAAATCGTGAATGAAAAATAGGCGATTCGATGTGCATTTAGGAGAAAAGTAAACAATTAGGCGTATATGTAGGCGAAGAGTAGACAATTCAGCGGAAAAGCGACTAAAAGGGGGGAAATCCGCATTATTCCCTCCGGACAGGTGAAAAAGCGATATTTTTGCGCGTTTTCCCTTTTTTAGCCTTAATTCCCTCTTCATTCGTTGTTTGAGCGGATGTGAAGTTCGAAGTGATTTGTGGTTCATCTATTACTGTAGTTGGATTAATTAAACGACTGATTTTGGTGGTTTTTGATATTTTTAGAATTTGAGCATGGTTCAAAATAAATAAGGTTGCGTTCTGCAACTTAGGATTGCACTGCTCATTCGTTTACCTTACGCTCCAATAGCACGCTCGTTATTTGACCTTCAAGGGCGTAACTACCTGCATTTTGTACTGTATCTAAATCCGACCTTAGGCGCGGTAGTCGAAATGGTCAGCTTACTGCCATAATCCGGTTAGTTCATACAGTTGTTACTGAAAATATGTACTGTTGCCATACTTTACGAATTTGTAGCCGAAACAATTAAATTCCTTTGTTTTTTCAAAGCAAAATGTATTACTCGATATAGTGTCATAAAAATCCTGAAACCCGTACAAACAATAAAAGGGGAAATGCGAACAGAGAGAAAATAAAGGAGAAAATGAGTTGGGGAATTAAGGAGAAATAATAGCGAAACGCGATAAAATGTCTGCCTTTTCGCATGTCTGGTGAAATAATGCGGATTTTCTTCTTTATGTCACTCTGTGTTGTAAATGTTGCTGAATTGTCTACTTTTAGCCTAAATGCAGGCAAAATTGTCTACTTCACTTCTGATTCTTCCATTTTTCCGCATTTATTTGAGACGTTAAACAGTATATTTATTAACACAAACTGGTGTGTTGTACACGTTACCCTGGTTCGGTGTTTATCCTATAGTTATTGATTTGTATAAGTCATCTAATTTGTTGGTTTAACAGTGTTTTGAAACCTTTCTAAAATGATGCTCATCGATTACTTGATTTTAATGATAATAGGTCCATCCACCTAATTATGCTGAAAAATATACCACCCAATGTTTTAATAAGATTCGTGTCCTTTAATTGGTAACAGCCATATTCCGTGCTTGTAGTTCTCTCTGAACAATCTTTTCTAAATGCGAAACAACTCAACCTAAGTATTTTTTCTTGGTTGTTTAAGCATATATTACTTTCCCAGTTTTCCCTCTTGTATCGGTTGAGTAACAGTCTATGCAACATATGTATATGTAAGCATATACGCTTAGTCTATTTCCCTACTGTAGGTATAAGAGTAAATGTAGAAACAATCTCGCACTATTTTTCTGGAAAAAACTCAGTCAGTGCATTAAAGATTTAAAAAGCCAAACGTTTGCTGCAGATATTGATCTGAATTTTTCTAGGACAGAATTTAACTCATTTTACTATTAAGGATCATAGAACTTGTTGTTCACATTGTAAGATACAGGTTGTTACATCATACATATTCGCCATAAGTCACGATCATCAAGGTCTTAGCATTATTCATGATAAGAATAGTGATCATTCTACACTGTCATTTGGCGACTTTATATTTCATAACCTTAATGTTCTGCAATATAATCTATAAATAATTGTAAAACCTTACCAACAATGCTGTGTCTGTATTAGTCAGTCATTGCACTGAGTTTTAGTAACAGGATTTGGTTGTTCTTACTCCATGTAATGTAACCACATATAAAGTGCGGGAAAAAAATGAAAAAATCCTTTGACGAATAAAGTTCAGCTAAAGCTACTTTAGGTTTCGGTACCCAGATAAGTAATAGTTTAAATAATAACTAATGAAAATAAATGTCTCTTTTGCAGTGCACATATAGTTGAGATAGGTGTCATATGACGAACTTCAACTAATGTAAACTGATTAGAATAGTTTGTCGGAGGCATCGTAGTTTAATGTTCAGTTTTCAACACATGTACTTATTTGGTAATATTTGAGTTAGTTTATTTTTATTTCTATCTTTCTGTGCTTCCATTCCGCTCAGGTTCCTAGTAATCTAAAAGAAAGTAAAGTATAGAAAACCAAGCATTTATATATGGGTATCGTTACCATAGGGATATTTGGTATTCATCACGTGTGTTATAATGGGGGAAAGTTTGGATATTTGGAGGCGCTGCATTTCTGGAGTGAAATTAGCCTTTAATTTAGGTGAAATTACAGTCGTTTCTTTTTTGTAGTAAATTGATCCGTTTTGTTAGTGTTTGTGCTCACGGATAATCAATAATAAAACTTAAACAGTATTCCCATGAATACATTTAGGCAAAGCCATGTAAGATGAACTTGATGTACGGAAATCTCGTAACAGAACGCTTTTCTTATACCTGCTTACTAATTTTACTAAAATATAATGCACAATTGGCATTCCTATACTAGCAGTTATCATGTTTTGTGTAATATGTGAGGATTAGTGAGTTACTGTTTCACTAGTTAATTTAAGGCTTTAACCTGATGAGTGGTAGTTTAGTTATTATTATTATTCATATCTCAGGTAGTTTTTGACTTGAATAAATGCATCTTAGACAATTAATATTGTACTATCTTAAATATATAGGTATAAAAACCTAATTTTCTACCTTTATGATCATCCAATGGTAATTTTACCGTGATATTCTGTTTCTTAAAATGGATTCGTTGTATACTTCAACCTTTCTACAGTGAAATATTTTTTTCTTTATTAATATCAGTCCTGTGGATAATAAATGACTATTTGCTTCTATTTATTTTCCAGATACTGTAAGCATTTTATGCTGCATTTATTCCCGAATTATTTTCATCTTAAATCCTGCACTGTATATTCGCACTATGGTTAGTGTACATTCTGGTTTTGCGTTACGAATTGTGTAGATAAATTTCATGTTATTGTTCAGTCGTCAAGGTAAAGTGCGACTTCAAAAATGGTATAGCTCTTATACGGAGAAAGAAAAGAAAAAGTATTTGCGCGAAATCATTTCTCTAGTCTTTGCGAGGAAACCAAAAATGTGCTCGTTTCTAGAATGGCAAGACCTTAAGATTGTGTACAGGAGGTGTGTTTGTAATTTATTGCAACTACACTTTCTTTAACAGATATGCTAGTCTCTATTTTGTGTGCGCTATTGATCAGACAGATAATGAATTGATTACATTGGAAATTATTCATCGTTACGTGGAGATTCTGGATAAATATTTTGGAAATGTAATTTGTATTTAACAAAATTGTATTTTTAAGGTCTGTGAATTGGACATAATCTTCCACTTTGAAAAGGCTTACTTTGTTTTGGATGAATATTTACTAGCTGGTGAAGTACAAGAGACAGGGGCAAAAGAAATTCTTTCTGTGATAGATGCACAAGATATAATTCAAGAGGTATGTTTTTTCTATTAGTCTCATTTGATTTTCTTTCAGGATGAAGTCCCACAAAAACTTTTCGAAGATCAAAGTCTAAATTGACAGTAGAACTTTATTTGGGTCGACAGATTATTTAAGTCTTACGTTTACCTCCCTCCATGGCATTGTCAGATGTTCTTGAAAATAAACTTTACTTTTCTACTGCCTTGATATTAATATTGTCTTTCTTTAAAATATGAAAGCTATCGTTATCTACGATTAATTCTATGCAAAGATACAGGGTAAGATGACAATTAACCGAATAGATTCAGTGGTGTGTAGAAATAACTGTACATATAGTTTTTTTATCATTTTGGAAAGAGCAAGAACAAAAATGCTAAAGAAGATAACACGAATTTATCTTATTTCGTTCGATTCTCGTTAGTTGCCTTCAACCTATAGTATTTAAAAGTAAAAATTACAAAGTGGGTTTAAATTATTTACATGGAAGTGTTTGTATTTAGAAGTTGCTGTGATCGCACACACTCAATACCTTTTGGACACAGGACATCAAGTCGATACCTTAAAATCCTTCATAAATATTAATAAACAACCAAACTCCAGTCATTTGAAGTTCACTAAAACTATCTTTATCAGGCGTCAGAGATGGTTTTCTAATCTTTCTTTGCCCTGGTGACAAACATGTTTTTCATAACGTCAATAAAGGCTGTCCAACTTCTTTTAATTAGTTGCATCAGTATGCCTGTATTGTGAATGTCTTCTACATCGTTAGCCTTATTTTACCAAGCTGAACTTTATTCATTTTATCCTTATTATCAGCATCTGTCTATTGCGTAACCACTTGTTTCTAAACCTTTCATCTCAGGTTACTATCAATCTTGTAAAATATTCTTTCATATAAGATATATATTTACAGTATCCTGGTCTCTCAATTTTTTTCATATTATTGCTATACTGTATTGATTTTGACCATAGCAACCTTTAAATATTGCAGTATGCATGTAGCCGGCGAGAACCAAACGAAATAAAATGAATCCATGCTATTCTGATATAACTATTATATATATACCTTTGAGAAACTAGTCTATATGAGATACGAAACCAATTGTCCTTCCGCCTGGCGGATGTCGATAATTCTGTTATTTTCATCTTTCGATGGATCTTGGTTTTGTGTTGCCCACTACGATTGTTTGTCGTAAATTTATGGAAATTTCAGTGTATTTTAACTGGAAGTATTTATTTCAGACATATATTCAGCAACCTTTTTTATTATTGGTCTGAATAACTTCAGGTCAATTTAATATATGTAGTGTTTCGGTCTCTAAATACAAAATATTCGTTAGTAAATCTTAAGTTTATGGACGTATCTTTAAATATTTAATGCTTATAGAAAAATTAGTCCAGGAACAATTAGCGTTGTCGCATTATTTTAGTTTCTTCTCTTTCACTGTGTATTTATTAATAGCTTAATCAATGCTATCTTGATCTAGATGCTTCATGAGTATTAATAATGAAATGTGTTTGCATTTGCTCTTGTGGAATAACGAATTCAATCTATAGTTAGTTGTTTACGAATTTTACTACATTATTTAGTGGTAGTCTACATCACATTGCGTTCCCACTTTAATAGTCACATCATGAAACTATAACGTGAAGATATAAAGTTGGGAAATTAAGATTTTTCCGTAAATAGGGTTAAGCGATCACTTTAATTACGACTGTTAACCCTCTGAAGGGGAATAGGTCGCCCATCAGCCTTCTCCACACAACTTTCACTCTTTTGATGTTTGCCTCCAATTTGCGTCACAATATTTCCACACAAACGTATACACAAAGCTACATGGATCTCACCGGACCACACTACAGAGAACTAGATAGATCATATCTGCATCAATAAAAAATTACGAAGGACAATGGAAGACGTGAGAACCAGGAGAGTAGCTGACATAGCTTCAGATCACCATCTAGTTGTGGCCAATTTAAAACTGAAGCTAAAGAAGAACTGGACAAACAGCATTACAAAGGTTCAATACAGCCTTCCTTCGAGATACTAACAAAATCAACGAATTCAAGATATCTCTCAACAACATGTTCAAAGCCTTACAGGACCTACTGAAGGAAGAAGAAACTACTATGGATGACAACTGGAAAAGTATCAAAGAGGTTCTGGGTCTAAAAAAGCACCATTATAAGGAATGGATCTCTACAGAAACACTGGACAAGATCAAAGAAAGGAAGAACAAGAAGACAGCAATTAACAACAGCCGAACACGAACAGAGAAAGTCTAAGCACAAGCTGAATACATAGAAGCAAACAAACAAGTGAAGAGGAGCATTAGAGCCGACAAGAAGAAATACATGGAAGAACTAGCAACGACGGCGGAAAAAGCTGCAAGGGAAGGAAATATGAACAAGTGCCGATGGACTGGAAAGAAGGACACCTCATCAAGATTCCAAAGAAAGGAGATCTGTGCAAATGTGAAAACTATAGGGGAATCACACTACTGTCAGTACCAGGAAAAGTCTTTAAAAGAGTTTTGCTGAGCCAGATGAAAGATACAGTAGACGCCGAACTTCGAGATCAACAAGCTGGATTCCTTAAAGATCGGTTGTGCATAGATCAAATTGCGACACTACGGATCATCGTCGAACAATCAATTGAGTGGAACTCGTCACTACATCAACTTCATTGATTATAAAAAGGCATTTGACAGTATGGATAGGAGGACGTTATGAAAACTTCTTCGACACTATGGAGTTCCTGAGAAGATTGTCAATATTATCCGTAACTCATACGACGGACTACAGTGCAAGGTCGTGCATGGAGGACAGCTGACAGATGCATTCCAAGTAAGGACCGGAGTCAGACAAGGCTGTCTACTCTCTCCCTTCCTCTTTCTTCTGGGTTATGAAGACCTCGACATCTGAGAGAATATGCGGCATACAATGGACAACTCAGAATCTGTTGGGGTGATCCAGAAATCTCGTAAAAGACAAGCAAGCATCAAGAAACACTAAGAAGTGTTTCGTCCAATCAGCGATCACTTGGAGTCTTGGCCAGAAATATCAAGGCAGCGAGACGTCACATGCGGAAGCTCTGATAGGTTGGCTTCTACAGTGCTACTATGCTTAGTAGCATTCCAGAATATTCTAGCGACCCAAGGACACTTAAAATATTATAAAAACCAAATGTTTTCTGTAATAGAAGGAACCTTGTAGTAAAGTATTTTCCCTCATACTTGCGTCTTCTCTCTGGTATTCAAGTCACTGTGTAGTCCTAGCTTGCGGGTTACCAGAATAGCTTAGGAAACTAATATAGCGTTTGATCGATAAGACTTATCAGAATCAATCAGACAATTTGGACTTCACAGATGACCTGACCCTTCTATCGCATACACATGAACAAATGCAGATAAAGACAGCCAGTGTAGTAGCAGTCTCTGCATCAGTAGGTCTCAGTATACACAAGGGGAAAACCAAGGTCCTCAAATTCAACACGGAGAACAGCAATCCAATCACTCTTGATGGCGAAACTCTGGAAGATGTAGAATCCTTCACATACCTGGGAAGCATCATCAATGAACAAGGAAGATCTGATGCAGACGTAAAGGCGAGGATTAGCAAAGCAAGGACAACATTCCTACAGTCGAAGAACATATGGAACTCAAAACAACTGTCAACCAATATCAAAGTCAGAATTTTCAATACCAATGTCGAGGCAGTTCTACTGTACGGAGCTGAAACTTGGAGAATTATCACAGCCATAATCAAAAAGGTACAAGTACTTCCAAACAATCGCCCACGCAAGATACTCAACATCCACTGGTCGGATACCATCAGTAACAGCCTTCTCTGGGAGAGAACAAACCAGCTTCCAGCTGTAGAGGAAATTAGGAAAAGATGATGGAAATGGATAGGACATGCATTGTGGAAATCACCAAACTGCATCACGAGGCAAGCACTAACTTGGAATTCTGAATGGGAACGGAAAAGAGAAAGACCAAGGAACAAGTTACGTTGAGAAATAGATGCAGATATGTTAAGGATGAATAGGAACTGGAAGGAGCTCGAAAGGATTGCCCAGGACACGGTTGGGTGGCGAATGCTGGTGAGAGACCTATGCTTCTTTACGAGGAGTGACAGGCGTAAATAATAATAAATAAAGCTTGCCTCATGATGCAGTTTGGTGATTTCCACAATGCATGTCCTATCCATTTCCATCATCTTTTCCTAATTTCCTCTACAGCTGGAAGCTGGTTTGTTCTCTCCCAGAGAAGGCTGTTACTGATGGTATCCGACCAGTGGATGTTGAGTATCTTGCGTGGGCGATTGTTTGGAAGTACTTGTACCTTTTTGATTATGGCTGTGATAATTCTCCAAGTTTCAGCTCCGTACAGTAGAACTGCCTCGACATTGGTATTGAAAATTCTGACTTTGATATTGGTTGACAGTTGTTTTGAGTTCCATATGTTCTTCGACTGTAGGAATGTTGTCCTTGCTTTGCTAATCCTCGCCTTTACGTCTGCATCAGATCTTCCTTGTTCATCGATGATG